TTAACAAGAGAATAACTAGTGAAAGTGAAAAGTTATATTTTATTTAATACTCCTCCTTTAGTCTTAGGAGCAAGATCTTGTTCATTAGGAGGTGAATGCTACATTCGTTACGTGATTTATGATATTTCATATGAACTCATATGTATTTTATAAATTTGTAAAGATCAAGTTCTCAATGTATTTCAACCTATACAAAATTCGTATGTTACAGCAGCAGCAACAGCGAGCCCTGAAGCCGCACAACAGCCAAAGCTTAGCCATTGCCCTGTTTTTGGGTTCTTCGCGAAAGTGTCATCCAATCCGTCCATTGAGCTAAGCTCTTGATCTCGACCGTCCAATTTGAAAATGTGACTGGAGAAGAATCACTTGGGCTCTACTTTGCTTGAGATGTGATAGCCGCCACTATATTCGAACGCTCCAGCAGATGATAGAGCCACAGAATCGTCGTCGTAGAGGCTGATAGCGTGAAATTCCCCTCCACCGATGCTGCTACCTCTGAATCCGCCAGATGATCCCAGCAGCGATTCCAGCTCCTTGACAATGTCGTTCATGCTGGGCCTTTGCGCCGCTGCTTCCTCCACACACGCCATCGCCAAGCTCAAGTATCTCTTCAAATCTCTCGCCGAGTAGCCCTCGAGCGAGGAATCCAGCAAAGGGATTACCTCCTCGAGGCCTCCTCGCGCCAAAGCGGTCCGGACCTCTCGAACCACGTATTTTCCATTCTCGATCGGAGGCCGTGCTGTTAGAAGCTCCAGAAGAACCACTCCAAAGCTATAGACGTCGCTCTTGTCTGTAAGTTGGTTCGTCATGTAGTACTCGGGATCCAAGTATCCCTGCGAAAGAAAAGCGATGGTGGTCAGCTAGATCTCTGGAGAAAACTTCAAGGGAGGATGGATCCATCGAAGGACAAGAAGAAAAAAGAGATTTTGAGGATGGACAGGAAGGAAAACGAGATTTTTGGTCGAGGAAGGACACGAAACTTTGAGGAAAAGGTGAGAGTTCTTTACCAGCGTTCCTTTGACTTGAGTGGAGACGTGAGTTTTCCCTTCGTCGGCCATGGAAACTTTAGACAATCCCAGATCCGCGACCTTGGCGACGAACATCTCGTCCAGAAGAATGTTGCTCGACTTGATGTCTCTGTGGATAATGGGAGGATTTGCGAGCTCGTGAAGATATGAGAGTCCGCGAGCCGAGCCAATGGCAATCTCGAGTCTCTTGTTCCAGCTGAAAACTTTGGATTGATCTGGAATAACCCAAAATGCCAACTTAGATTAAAAAAAAAAAAAACTCGCCAAGAACTTACCCATGAGATGATCATGAATGCTTCCACCCGCCATGTACTCGTAGACGAGCATTTGCTCGCCATGCTCGAAACAAAACCCGACTAGCTCGACCAAGTTCTTGTGGTGGAGGCGAGAAAGCAGCTCAATCTCGGTCTTAAACTCGTGAGCTCCTTGCATCGATCCGGCCTGAGCTCGCTTGATCGCCACAACCTCACCGGTGAGAAGAAATCCTTTGTAGACTTTGCCGTATCCTCCGACTCCAATCTCGTGGCTGCTGCTAAAGTTGCTCGTAGCTTTCTTGAGATCCGCGAAAGAGAAGGACCTCACTCCCTTGATCACTGGCGCCTCCCCGTTGTCTTTTCCACCACCTCCCCAGGAAGCTGGAAGATCACCACACGAAAGTTAGTATAAATCTATCGAGTTCGTCCGAGAACTATTGAGTTCTTCTCGAGTCCTTGCGAAAACTATCGGACTTTGTAACGTACCAAAAGGATTTGTAGCTTGTTTGGCTTTGTCTGCTCGGAACTTTTGCCTGATCGCATAGCCAGCGACTAGAAGCACGACCAAAACCGCACCAATAGAGATACCAGCGATGGCTCCAGCCGAGAGTCCTCCATTACCATTTCTTATAGTTACTGAAACAAAGCAAAAGCTTAGAACTCCGTTAGAAAAAAAGGAAGATCGCGGAGCACTTACCGTCGCCAAGATCGATTGGAAAGACGTGGTATGGATCAAACCCGATCAGGTCGATAGTGTGAAGAACGTAGCGCCGGAGAATATCAGTCTTCACTTGGTCCGACAACTCGCGAACGCCGACGGGAGGAAAGAATGCCACGGTCGCGTTGAATCGAAAGTTGTCCGTGAAGACGAAGTTATCGACCCACACTTGGTCGATGAAAATTCCGGTTCCTCGAGCGATCTCGGACCGAAGAGCCTCGTTACGGTCGCTTGTCATGGCCGAGAAAGTTGGCGCGTTGAATTGGAACCGCAAAATGTATGGAATGCCGCAGGTGCACGAAGCCTCGTTGAAGATCTCCTCTCTCGGACAAATCCTGTTTGTGGAGCTGCAGTTTTGCCGTGGTCTCCAGGCCTCGTTACCCAAGGCATTTGAAGAACAGTTGATGTAGCTCGGAAGGTTTGGCGTGTTGCAAGCCGGATTTCCACCGAGTCTGCGAAAAATTAAGATAATTGGCTTTATCCTAGAACTTTTGGAAATGAGGATGTGCGAGCTTACGTTACTGAGTAAGAAGATGAAGGTGGAGCTCGAGATACTTCAGGAATTCTGTTGTTGGCGAGATCGATGCTTGTTAAAGATGGTGATGTGTTTCCCAGATCCAGAGTCGAGTTTAGATTGTTGGAGGCGAGTGATCTGCAAAGGAAACTTAGGCTTTGGACTGGAGGTTCTTTTGTTTGAACTTACAAGGTTTCGAGGGTGGAAATCAATAACAAGGCGCTGGGATCTCCAGAGAGGTTTGATCCATCGAGCTCCCTGATGGAAAAAGGAAAAAAACGCGAAAATGTTAGCAACCAGAGAGGTTTTTCGTCTTTGTTCTTACAGGGATTGCAAGTTCCGGAGTGTTGAAAACGAAGGCAAGGCTTGAGGAGGGAATCTGTTAAGTCCCATGCTCCTGTAATATCCATAGTACAGGAAACGAAGAAGAAAAAAGAAAAAAAGAAGTAAGAAAATAGCTGTTTTTACGAATTTGAAGCTTTACTCACACAAAGAGAAGTTGGCTCAGAGAAGAAATGTCCGGAAAGCTTGTAAAGCTGTTGTTTCGTATGTGTCTGCAGGAGAGAACTTCCATGAGGAAAGGAAGAAGAAAAAGAAGGAAAAAAGGTGAAGACTCACATTTCATGTAAAGTTCCGCTGAGTCTGGTAATGTTTGGAAATGGGCCACTAAAATTGTTGTTGTCAAGCCTCCTGCAATGTTTCACGTCGTTAACCACGTAAGAACTCGCAATAGAACAACTTACAAGATTTCAAGAGAAGGCAAATTTGCCAGTGCTGCTGGAATTTCTCCACTCATTGAGTTACTATCCACCAAGCTGAATTGTTCCAAAGCTTTTAGCAGTGGGAGATCAAAAGCAAAACTTAAAAGCTTACAAGTGGATGAGGTTTGGCAAAACAGAGATTTCTTCTGGGACTCTTCCTACGAACGAATTGTTGTTTAAATGGCTATGTATCACAAGGAAAAAGAAAAAGAAACGAGAAAAATGAATGTTAGTCTTGATCTAGCTTTACGAGAAACTTACAAGTGAATAGCGGATGTTAGATTGTTTAGGCCGACTCCTGCTATACCGCTCGAAACCGGAAGTTCACCAGAGAGATTGTTCTCTGAGAGATCAAACCAAGTGCAATTCGTGAGTAGACCAAGCTCTGGTGGAATGCTTCCATCTAGCCTGTTTGAATTCAATCCTCTGTGACATAAAAGAGAAACCAAGGGTTTTTTAGATCCAGTTCTTCGCAAACTTTTACAGAAGCAACTCACAGGAATCGAAGTCTTCTCAATCGACCAAGCTCGGCTGGTATTCTTCCAGAGAAAGAACACGATTGCAAACTCCTGCCTCATAGAAAATTTGGTACGTTAGTTTTCCTCGTGATAAAGCTTTTTCGAGAGTGAACTTACAAGAACTCTAAGTTGCTCAATCTGCCAAGTTCACTCGGGATTAAACCGGTGATTAGAGGATTGAATGCAAGAATGCTGGAAACGAACAAACAAAAAAATAAAAAAAACAAAAAGAGCGACAGAGAGAAGTCTCATGTGAGCACGATCATCATCAATGTTTTAAAAAAAAAAAGAACTTACAGTGTTCTAAGGTTGACGAGATCCCCTATTGCGGGGAGTAGCCGTCCACCGAGCCGGAAATCCCCCAAATCCCTGGACGGAAGAAAAGTGTGTAAGAACTTTGTGATCTAGAGAGATTAGAGAACTCACAAGCTTGTAACGTTCTGGCCATCGCACCCTATGCCTTGCCATCCTCCGCAAGGATCATCGCCGTTCCAGTTAAGGTTAGAGGATGTCCATCCAACTCTCACAGCACGTAGAGCAGCGGCTATATAATTTTTGTAAGATCACCCCCAAAAAGAGAAAGAGGGAGAGAGAACAAGAACAAGAAGAAAAACCGAGAAAAAGAAATAGACCAAGGGATGTTGGAGCAAGTACTAGAGTGAAGAGTAGATTTACAAAGAAAAAAATGGCCAGATGGAAGAGTAGCGACAGTGAAGGAGAGAGAGAGAGAAATCTAGCTCTATGAGCAAGGATAAGAACTTACTATCAGCTGGGTTTGTGACTGCCAGGGCCACCGAGGCCAAGAACATCCACAGGAGAATTATCTGAATCGCCCATCTCGCCAATCCCATGTCCCTGATCAATCTTCCCGGCTACCTGGCGAAAATTCCCTCTTGGGCACCTCGAAGCGATGGAATCCACCCGGCCCTCAAGCTCCGCTCGCGCATTTAGTGTTCTAGCACGGACTTTCGCAAAGACCCAGTCACAGAACCCGGATTTGAATGAACGAAGATGACTGCGCAGCCGAGTCAAATCGCGGCTTTGCGAAGGACGATCCAATCTTTTGACCACTGCGCGCTAACAAAACTCTCGCGCTTTGACTCTTTCTCCCCTTCTAATCAAGTACATTCTATGCCGTCGATCCGTGCAGTCAAATCCAGGCCGTCCGTTCCCAAGAGTGAGAATTTTGTATTGAGCTAGGGCGGGATGGAAAGAGATAGCGCAATGCCGGCAGCTACGAGCGGCAGGGGCCCTGCTGGTGCTACGCGCTTGTCGCTTCCATCCACAGTGGCGCCGCTTCGATCTGGCACTATTGCGCGACTGGCTCGGTCGTCCAGGGATTTAATCGATCAACTTGGCGTCGTGAGTGACAGGGTAAGCATGTCCTCACGTAGGTTGACTTGGTAGAGGATAGTACCAGTAAGGAAAGCGTTGAATTGTTTTGTGAGAAATGTCTTGTTCCAGGGAGTGATTGAGAGCTGGGAATGGAGTGGAGGAGGAGGCTGGGACTAGCATTGTGGATTTTTGGGCGATTTCTTCTCCACGTACTGGGAGCTACTAATACTCGAGATGGTCAGCTTCAGTGGATTTTTTTTCTTCTTCTTTCTTCCTTTGGAGACTAATCTTCGTTTTTTTTTTCTTCTGTTCTTCCTTCTTCCAGTTGCTGCTTTGCAGCTCCTTTTCAAGAACTGGCAATCAACCCATCTCAACTGGACGGATTATGATCCCTGTGGCTCTTCCTGGCGGGGAGTTGTGTGTAACAACAGCACAAACTCGGTTATACGATTGTAAGCACTTTCCTCTCAGATCGGCTCATACTTACTGGGTTTCTGGCAGGATTTCCAACCGAGGAGACATAACTGGCACACTATCATCCGCTATTGGAGATCTCACCGATTTAGTGGCCCTGTAAGAAACAGTCTCTCGTTGTTCGTGATCTTATTAATCTGTCTAAGGACTGTAGGGACCTTTCCTTCAACCCACAATTGACAGGAGAGATTCCAAAAGAGCTCGGCCGGCTGACAAACTTGCAATACTTGTGAGTACCCGTCTTTTTCCATCTCCCGTTTTAAAACCAACCTATTCCTGGCAGGAGTTTGCAAGGATGCAACTTTTATGGATCAGTGCCAAAAGAGCTTGGGCTTCTCAAAAACATGAAGTTCTTGTAAGCTTCAGCAAGAGAATTGCTGCTTTCGGTGCTGACAAAGGTTGTCTATCAGTGCGTTAAACATGAACAAATTGACAGGAAGTATTCCTCCGGAGCTTGGTGGCTTCCCGAATGTTACTTGGTTTGACATCGCACAAAATGGTCTTACTGGTCCGCTGCCAGTTTCTACGTCAGTTCCTCAAAATATTGGCCTCGACAACCTCACCAGCGTTGTTCACATGTAAGTAGCTTTGATTTGATGGTCCTTTCCTCATATCGTTTTGTTGCGACATAGCCATCTTTTCAACAACTCAATATCAGGAAGTCTACCCAAGGAACTTGCGACGCTAAAGTTTCTTAGACACTTGTTAGTGCTTTCCTTCTTGTTCCAATTTCTTCCAGAATTTATTTTTTGGATGTAGGATGGTTGAAAACAACGCTCTCACTGGAGAAATTCCAGTGGAGTACGGAAACTTTGCGGCTTTGGAGATTTTGTAAGTTTTGCTATTTGGTGGTGCTTAAAGCTGACAATAATTTTTATTATCAGGAGGGTTGACAATAATCGTGTTCAAGGTACCATTCCCGCTACTATCAATCAGATACCAAAGCTTTTGGAACTGTAAGTTAATGTGTTGAATTTGATGCTCATTGATACGAATGACTGTTACAGGCACCTTGCCAACAACAGTCTAGTGGGTACTCTGCCAGATTTTTCTGCTCTGAAGGGCATACTGCTTTTGTAAGCAAAACCTTCTCCTTTTTGTACTCATGCAGTTGGAATTTTCAGAAATGTGGGTGAAAACGTTTATGGCCCTCAACCGTTTCCGCCGGGCATTTCAAATCTCACAAACTTGCAAACATTGTGAGTGCCAACTTCCTTCATTTTATAATAACTGGTTGTTGTTCGTAAAGGAAAATTGACAAGGGGTTTCTGAATGGGACGATTCCAGATGGCCTCTTTGCGCTTCCGGCACTAGAATCTGTGTAAGGAAATCTATTTTATTATCAAGTCTAAGATTTTTTCTTTTATGTCAGCTCTCTTTCTAATAATCAGCTATCAGGAACAGTCACTTTTCCGAGTACTGTAAAGCGACTAAAGTCTGTAAACTTGAACGGCAACATGATCACTCAAGCTATAGGCATTGTTGACAGCTTCAATCTCTCGTATGTGTTTAAATCTTTCTTTTTTCATCCTAAGCATGTTTCATGCAGCCTGGTGGGAAATCCAGTTTGTAGCGACAATAGCTTTCATCTGTCCCAAGCTGTCTGCGCGCCAATAATCTCACCAACTTGGAACTCTACCAATCAAACCTGTTCAATCACTTGTACCGACGGCAAGCTCCGGAATCTGGAACTGTGTTCGTGTGCTTTCCCTGTCACTATCATCTTCCAGTTCAATGCTCCATCCTTCTCGGACATCAGCCAGGACAGAATGAATACTGTCAAAGCAAACGTCTCTTATCAAACTCTCGTAGCTCCGGAACGGGTGACGGTAGGAGGTGCTGCATGGATGTCAAGCTATCGACTTCAAGTTATAGTTTATGTGTTTCCTGAGAAAGGAAAGGACAAGATGGAGTACAGGGAGTCTGAGAAGATACTTACGCGAATTGCTCTCCATACAAATGCTAGTTTTCCAGCGGAATTCGGGCCTTATTCTGTCATCTCGGCTTTTGCACTTGGAGGTAATTTTCAAGTCTCGAGTGTTTTCTGTCCTGATGTCTTGTTCATTATCAGGTAATATTGCTGCAAAAAAATCAAGTCTTAGCAAAGGTGCAGTTGCTGGGATCTCAGTTGGAGCAGTTGCGGTAGTCCTGGCTGTAGTTGCGGCTGTCACTTATGCTATGTTCCAGAAGAAAAGAGCAGACAAAGCACTATCCAAACCATTCAGTAAGTTTTTGCCGCTCTTAGGGGATCCGAGTAACAAATATGACTTACAGCTTCTTGGGGATCAATGGGAAAAAGCGGAAGCGCACCAAAGCTCAAAGGTGCTCGATATTTCTCACTCCACGAACTTAATAAGGCGACGAATAATTTCAGCAGTGCAAATGAGATTGGCTCTGGAGGCTATGGAAAGGTGACTGTTTTTGAAACTTCTACTTATTTTAACCTGCTTCTTCCAGGTGTACAAAGGTGTTTTAGTAACAGGAGAAGAAGTCGCAATCAAGAAAGCTGAGGAAGGATCCATGCAAGGCAGCGGCGAGTTTAAGACTGAGATCGAACTTCTATCGCGGGTGCACCACAGAAACCTCGTTGGCCTCATTGGATTCTCCTACGAGCAAGGATCACAGATGCTCGTTTATGAATACATGGCGAGCGGCAGCTTGAGAGATCATCTTGGTAGTAAACATAACTGTTTTTTACTTTTTCGAATGTGTTTTGATGGTTCCTTATCTTGTTTGCAGCAAATTCAAGGCACCTCAGCTGGAACAAACGCGTCGAGATTGCTCTTGATTCAGCCAAAGGTCTGGCTTACCTCCACGAACTTGCCAGTCCTTCTATCATCCACAGAGACATCAAGTCAGGCAACATCTTACTCGACGAGAATCTGAAAGCCAAGGTTGCTGACTTCGGGCTGGGAAAGGAGGACAGGGCTCACGCCTCTATAACACAAGTCAAAGGAACACTGGTAAGCAAAAACTTTCTTCTTTTTTCTTGTCTTTGTTTTGTTTTGATTGCTCTCTTCCACACAGGGATACATCGATCCAGAGTATTACATGACGCAGCAGCTCACCGAGAAGAGCGACGTCTACAGCTTCGGTGTGGTGCTCTTGGAGCTTCTAACAGCGCGGCAGCCGATCTCTCGCGGGAAATACATCGTGAGAGAGGTGAAAACAGCTCTGGACAGGGGTGGCTTGACGGCTCTCGGAGCTTTACTGGATCCCAACCTGGAGAACGTTCCACAGAGCGATCTCATCAAGTTTGTGGACTTGGCACTCCAGTGCGTCGAAGAGGCGGGGGCCAACAGGCCAAGCATGGGCCAAGTCGTGAAGCAGCTCGAGCTCTTGCTCCTCATTGACGGCAACGACGCTAGCGGCAATGGGTTTGAGTTTAGCGGAACCAGAGATGGAAGTTTGTATGACGATACAGACGTTCTCTCGCGTGGCAACGATCCAGAGTTTGCTTATAGCGGGATCTTCCAGTCCAATGTGCTTCCCAAGTAGCGCATAAATGTAAAATTCTTTGCTATATAAATAATAGTAATGAATGAAAAAGT